CATTGGGGGCGGCGAGGCGGCTGTGCGCGGTTGGGCTTGCGGCCCTCTGCTGCGTCGTCGCGTCTTGCCGTTATCGCTCTTCTTGTGCTGCTGCTGCTGTTCGCTTTTCCATGTGCCGGTGCTCAGTCCGCGGCGTCCCAAAGCGTTGTTAAACTTGTGACTTTTCGCTTTGGTGATCCTTTGCTTGATAGTCTTTTCAAAAACATCTTTGCGGGGTTGAATGCTTCGTTTTACTCGCGGAAGTTCATTGTGGGGGAGGATGTGAGTGTAGAGATTGTCCACAAAATCACAAAAAAAACCGATTACCCATCTGATCTCTCTGCGGTGTTGAGTGACAAGGGCACTTACGCCGTCATTGGTCACTGCGGTGACCGACTGTTGGAGAGCATAAAGAACGTTCTTGCGCAACACGACGTCGTAGCTTTTGCCCCGTTCACTGGGTCGAGTGTGGTGCGTGGGTGGAACCCCAATGTATACTTTTTGCGTGCTGATCCTGCGATGGAGCTGCTGGCACTTCTCCGCTTTGCCGTGACTCGGCTGCGGGTGCTTCGACTGGGCTTCATGTACCTGCAAAATGTCTCTTTTGGTGACCGCGAGTGCAAGCTGGCACAGCGTGTGATGTCGGGGATGGGCTACAAGCTTAGCGGCGTGTTCACTGTGAAGAGTTCTTTAACTGGTGAGGCCGACCCGAAGGAGTTCGATGCTGCGTGGGAGCGGTTTGCTGTGACTCGGCCGCAGGCTGTGATTGTGTTTGGCTCGCCGTTATCAGACACCGCGAAGTTCATTGTGAAGATGCTGACGGACGACCGCACCGCTAGCGCGTACCTGCTGGTTCCCTCGGCGCTGCAGGAGCGTTGTTGTGGAGACTTGGCGTGCTGTCGTGGCTGATGGTGGTGCGAAGTTTGTGCCCGGACAGGTGATCGCGTCGGGGGTGAACCCGCTGGCGAAGGACACCCAGTACAGAGCAATCGGTCGCTTTCAGGAGGTTATGCAGGACTACCTGGAGAACAGTGGGCAAACGGACTATGCTGACAAGGATCATTTTCTCAAGAATGACGGCGACGGCGAGTTGATGGTTAGTGGGTGGATTGCCGGCGAGGTGCTCGCACAGGCGCTGAGTAACGGTGAATGGCTGAGTGACCACAAGACTTTTGTTGCGTCCCTCTTCGACCAACGCCGGTATATGGTGGGCGACCTTGTGATTGGGGATTACGGTGGGGAGTGTAAAGGCGCGGCGGCATCGCAAGGTGCCACTTGCTACTGCAACGAGGGAGGCCGCACGGTGTACATGAAGCGTTTCGTGGAGGACTACCGGGCACGGACAGTTAAGGAGGGGCTTATGACGTTTCGATTATCAGATTGCGATGCTTTGGACACTTTCATGCCGCCGGTGTTCAGTGGGATGGCCTTTCTAATGACTGATAACGGCGCTGCACAGCGTGCGTTTGGTGAGATTAGATTTGGATTTATGTCCGCATATATTCGACCGACAGGGTGGTGGGAACCTGGTGAAATTTCCATTTTTCCTCGCGTTAGCACGCTTAATTCTTCCCGTGACGCCCTGCAGTCGCAGATGCAATCACGGCGTGTTCATGGGGTTTTTGGTGTTGTGACGGAGGCGATGCTGGACGTGGGTAATGTGGTCTTCATTGACCCGCTACTCCTTGAGCCGCGGCTGAACAGGTTCCGCAGGTACGCGATCCACCTGTCGCCGACGCTGGAGCAGGAATTCTTCGTGCTTGCGAAGTACCTCGGGAACACGAGTGTCCGTTCGGCGCACGCAGTGATCCGCGGCGAGGAGGCAGCTGCGGTGGCGGATGTGCTGCGGCGGTCGCTGGTGACGTCTGGCGTGTCGCTGCAGTCCCCGACGCTGCTGGCCGGCGGCGACGCGCTGGCGGGTCACCTGCCGGCGGAGGGTGACGTGTTTGTGGTGGGGCTTGCGGCTGTCGACGTCGCTGCGATTGCGAAGCACGTGGCGTCACACGGCAGTGTGCGTGTGTTCGTTGCGTTCTCCGAGTTTGCGCTGCTGCACGCCGACTTCGTCGCTGCGTTCGATGGCGGTGCGGGTGCCGACCGTGTTGTGTTCGCAACGAGCCTGCCGCACTGGAACGACGCGAACTCGACGTCAGAGACCGCCCAGGAGTTTATCCGCACTGTGACCGACGCCACGCAACGGACGCCGCTGTCACTGATGGGCTTCGCTAGCACGCAGCTGCTGCAGACTGTTCTCTCACGCATGGACAAGGTGACTGCTGAGCTTCTGGCCGCATTTTTTTACAGGAGCATCACTGTCACCGTGAAGGACATGCAGTACGGATCCTTCGCTGACGGCACGGCGTGTGATGCAGCTGACGGTGCTGTGTGCGCTAAGAACTACGGGGCGACGTATATTTCTGTGTGGTCGCTTGCCCGTGCGCTGGACCCTGCCGTGCCCGTGCTGTTCCCCGCCGTGACCCCGTCGATGGAGTACGTGGAGCCCGCTGCGCATGGACTGGTGACGGCACAGCTGGTCGGCATCGCCATTGCCGTGGTTTTCCTGGTTGCCATCATTGTGGTTGCTATCATTGTTGTGGTGCTGTGCTGCTGCCGCGACTCGCGTGACAACGCGAATGCACCGAAGGAGCCGACAGACCCCGTGACACTCGTGTTCACTGACATTGAGAGCAGCACGGCGCTCTGGGCTGCGTGTTCCGAGTTGATGCCCGACGCCGTGGCGACGCACCACCAGCTGATCCGCGCGCTGATCGCGAAGTACGGCTGCTACGAGGTGAAGACGATCGGCGACTCGTTCATGATAGCGTGCAAGAGTGTGTTTGCCGCCGTGCAGCTTGTGCGTGAGCTGCAGCAGGTGTTTCTGCAGCAGGCCTGGGGGACGAGTGTGCTCGACGACGCGTACCGCAAGTTCGAGGAGGGCCGGGCGGAGGAGGATGTGGAGGGGTACGTGCCGCCGACTGCGCACCTCGACGCCGCCGTGTACCGGCAGTACTGGAGCGGTCTGCGGGTGCGTGTGGGGGTGCACACCGGGCTGTGTGACATCCGGCGCGACGAGGTGACGAAGGGGTACGACTACTACGGCGACACGGCGAACATGGCGGCGCGCACGGAGAGCGTGGGGAACGGCGGGCAGGTGCTGCTGACGCGTGCGGCGTACATGGCTCTGAGCACGGCAGAGCGGGAGGAGGTGGATGTGACTGCGCTTGGCACGGTGGCGCTGCGTGGGGTGCCGCAGCCTGTGGAGATGTACCAGGTGGACGCCGTGCCCGGGCGCACCTTTGCGGCGCTGCGGCTGGACCGAGAGGCAGCGGAGCTTTATGATGGTTTAGATGTTACGTTAAGCAGTGGAGAGGCTTCCGCGTCGAGTTCTTTAGGCGCTGTTGGGCACGCCATTTTGTCTGTGCTGGTGCTGCTTTTTGGAGCCGTTGCGGTTTCGCAGCGGTTGAAGTTGCTGCGTCCTCTGTGCGAGCGTTGGAGAGTTGATGTGCCGCGCGGGGTTGGGGCGGGCCATGAGGTGGAGGCCTGCAGCGTGGCGATGGAACGGCTGGCGGCAAGGATGGGTCGCGTGATGAAAAATGCCTGCAAAGCTGCAGATAAAGGAGGCTCCCACACAGGGAGTTCACCGAGAGTTTCACTGCTTGGAAATGACTGTCTCGTGCAATTGTTAAATACAACTTATAGGAGTGACAGCAGTTTCGGGGAGTGGCAGCCACGACACATTGAGCGTCGATCGTCGTTGTCTACAGCGGAGGAGGCGTGGTCGGCGACGGATGGCTCGGATGCCACCATTCACATTCGTCAGCTTGTGTAACTGTGGGCAGCCCTGTCTGCGCTGTGTGTGGTGCTATGCCCGGTTCTTTTGTGGCCCTCTGTGGGACAGTGCTCGTGCCTCCAGCTTTTGAAGAAGCTGTTTTGGAGTTGGCTCACCTTGCGCCGCTCCCTTTTTATTATATATATATATATATATATATATATTGTTGCAGAGCTGTGTGGAGGGAAGAATGCTTCTCGACGAGGCTAAATGAATGGTGGAGCGATTTATTTGTGTGCATTGGCTTCTGCGTGTGTTTATTGTTTTGTCTTCTGCGAGGGCGCGTTGGAGTGGTGAGTGGATTTCGTTTTTTATTCCCGCTGCAACCCCTGCCGCACACGTCTTCCACGCGGGGCGTCTGGTGGTTGCAGGCTGTGGCGACTGCTGCTGCGTGGGACCCAACGGCCCCGCCCACCGTCAAACGCCGTCATGCGTGATTTGTTTACATTTTGTGTTCTACAGACAAATCAGCTTGTATTTGAGTGGTGTGCGCGGTGGGCCGAGCCGTTTATTTATTTATTTTTGGTTATTATGGGAATGAGGAAGCCGCATCGCAGGCGTATTCCCCTTTTGAGTGTGTTTGTATCTGTTTTTTTTTTTTACATTTGCTTTGTTATGAACCCTGCACGCAATCTGTGCGCCATGTATGCTGGGCAGTGCGGCACGGGCACTGCGTGGGGAGTGCGCTGTGTGTGGTGCTATGCCCGGTTCTTTTGTGGGCTTCTTTGGGACAGTGCTCGTGCCTCCAGCTTTTGAAGAAGCTGTTTTGGAGTTGGCTCACCTTGCGCCGCTCCCTTTTTATAGTATATATATATATATATATATATTGTTGCAGAGCTGTGTGGAGGGAAGAATGCTCCTCGACGAGGCCAAATGAATGGTGGAGCGATTTATTTGTGTGCATTGGCTTCTGCGTGTGTTTATTGTTTTGTCTTCTGCGAGGGCGCGTTGGAGTGGTGAGTGGATTTCGTTTTTTATTCCCGCTGCAACCCCTGCCGCACACGTCTTCCACGCGGGGCGTCTGGTGGTTGCAGGCTGTGGCGACTGCTGCTGCGTGGGACCCAACGGCCCCGCCCACCGTCAAACGCCGTCATGCGTGATTTGTTTACATTTTGTGTTCTACAGACAAATCAGCTTGTATTTGAGTGGTGTGCGCGGTGGGCCGAGCCGTTTATTTATTTATTTTTGGTTATTATGGGAATGAGGAAGCCGCATCGCAGGCGTATTCCCCTTTTGAGTGTGTTTGTATCTGTTTTTTTTTTTTTTACATTTGCTTTGTTATGAACCCTGCACGCAATCTGTGCGCCATGTATGCTGGGCAGTGCAGTGTGGACACTGCGTGGGGCCAGCAGTGTGGCGGCGGTGTGGCACACTTTTGCTTTCCCTCTCTGTTTGCTTTGTTCGTTTTTGTATGTTGTCGTTTTGCTGCTAGCTGCAGTGTAGTGAGGCATCTCTCTCTGTCACGAGAGATCTTATATCTGAACATTATGTTGGCGTTTGACGGGCGGTAATGACGCTGCGTGCGTGCCCTCCAACGTCTCTGCTAGTGATGATTTTAAA